TTAGCACTACAAAACAATAATACAAGATTCTTTTTTCAGATTTGCTGCTCACAATGGCTTTTAGTGCCTCATTTTTGTTTTAGGGAAACTTAGCACATTATTTTTTCTTTACTTTTATCTTACTAACAAAAACCACATTCTAAAATGGTGGTGATAATAAATAATAGGAGATTTGAAAGTAGTTGCCTATTCTCTTGCCAAGGGCAAGTAATGATTTATTGTGGGTAAGAAAGAGTAGGGACTCAATTTACTCTACTATCTCAGGTACTGATACAAGAATTTGTAAATCTGAGAAAAAAACCTGTTTTTATTTGCATGGTAGAAATGCTAAAGTCATGAAAATATATGGAAGGAAGCTTCCTGTGGGTTTATGTCAGAGTTATGTGAAACTCCTTCTGTTTTACTCATTTAGAGATGTGTGTCCTGCATAAAAAATAGGATGAAATAAAAAGTTCCTGGTTCAGAGAGCCAACAAACACTACTGTAAATTCAGTAAAGTGCCCTTCTACACTATTTTTGGTAAACACTGGGAAAGCCAGACTAAAGATTTACTAAAGATACCAAAACACAACACTTGCAAAAAAGTCTTAAAAGTCTTAGCTGATCCTCACAATAACATGTCTTAAAATATACTATATTAGCCCATATAGTATATTATATAAACATGAATGAGTCTGCTTATCTAAAAACAAACACAATGGTTATAACTATTATCAATTTCTGAGAAGTTTTAGCCATCATTTTAAATTAGAAAACTTGATATATATTAATATTCTTCTTAGTTCCTTAAGAACAAATTTTGTTACTACCACTACCCTGCTAGTCTCCTTCTCATTAACCTGTCTTATTTGATTTTACATATCTGAAATTATCTTGTCTTTGGTAGTGTGTTTTAATCAAGAGAATTTTAAACTTCACTATACAAGGAAACTTATTTATTTTATTTATTATTATAATCCCAGCATTTAGGGAAAAAATGTTGGTGTATAAAAGAAGTAATAAAACATGACCTAGGTTAAAATTCTTTTCCTATAACCATAAAATAATAGAAGATAATAACACATGGTCTATAATATAACATTTAATATCATGTTTTTTCAAATCTCAGGAATGAATGAATTAAATGTATTGAGTAGAAGTAAAACTTGATATTTTCCATAAAATTGTTTTTAGCAATCAAGTGCTAATAAAAGATATATATTATTAACTTCTATTTCATAAAGCCTTCAAATGCTAGCAGGATCATGATTTCACAAAAACCATACTGTATATATAATATGGAAATGTAATTACATACATATTAAAATACATATTGAAATATATACTATTACTATCATATAATATTACTATACTAAAACGTGAAAACTGTATCTTCAAATAATGACTTTTTGATTCTTATGACTTCTTTACTGTAGCAGTTATTTAACAGATTGAATTCTTTTAGGCAGTATATGGTACTTATTGTACACTTGTATTTTTTTTGAGTTGCCATTTTAATATGATTTATAAAAACATATTAGACTATGCTCTGAAGAACATACATATGCTCTTCATATGTATGGACATACATATGTATGGCACATATGCAACCTCAGCATGTAAAAGGCTTTGAGTATTCCTACTGTGTGAGAATCTTTCATTTATTTGAGAACCATCTATGATAAATTACACACTATGATTGGCAAGAGACTGCTCAGAAAAAGTTTTATAAAGTAATCCAATGGGGCAAATACAATAAGCTCCATGATAAACAAAGGTACAACTGAACCTTTCTTCACTCTATTTAAAAAATTTTAAATATTCAAATCTTTTAAAAATTGAGAATGAAAGGGAGTATCAACATAAAAAACTATCTGTATTAAAGTATAATAATCTAATCATTAACCAAAATTGATGATTAACTATTAGAATTACTTTGGAAAAACTCAGAGACAGACCCTGGTACACAACAAATCAAATATATGAATGATTAAGGAGGAATGAAAAATATATGGGATAGAGACATATTACGACTAATTGAAACCAGAAAAAATTTTAGTGAGTATGAAATTTCTGTAAAGGTTACTTTATAAACTTAACAGGGATGGAAAAAATCACCAAGGCAAAGAATACAATAAAATATTACAGAACAAAAAGAATACACTGACATTTAAAAAGTAAACATTAATGTATAAGGAGATAATGTGTAAATCAATAGAAAAAAAATACTAGAACAACATAACTTACAAAGAAGGAAAACAAGTAAACTGAGAGTACTTTAAAAATGTCCCATTTTGCCAGGACCCAGTGGCTTATGTCCATAATCCTAGCTACTCGGGAGGTAGAGATCAGGATGATCATGGTTCAAAGTCAGCCTGGGCAAATAGTTCATGAGGCCTTATCTTGAAAATACCCAAGACAAAAACAGGACTAGCGGAGTGGTTCAAGTGATAGAGTGCCTTCCTTGCAAGTGTAAGGCCTTGAGTTCAAACCCCAGCACCACCAAAAAAGAAAGGAAAAAAAACATGTCTAACTTCCATGAGAGTAAAGGGGGTGGGGGTGAGGAATCAAGAGAAAGGGAGGAAGAAAGTAGAGGACATTGAAGGATGAAGAGGATCAAAGCGTGTTACAAATATATATGAAGAAAAATAAATATGATAAAACTTGAAATACTGTTTAAAAAGGGTGGAAGGAGGAATGTGGATAAGGGAATATAATAGGAGTGAACTTATTCAAAGAACACGTACACATCTATGGAATTATCACAAAGAACACTTTTGTACTATTAACATATGCTAATAAATGTTTAAAAATTCAACTTCAGTAGTATTCAAAAAGTGAAAATTAGAATAAAACAATGTTAAATTACCAAAAATCTTTAAAAAATTAGTAATAACTGAATGTGCTGGGGACATTAGAATAACATTTTTGGAAATAAATTTGGCAACGTGCATCAAAAGTCTTAAAAATATCTATCATTTTCTATTCAATATCCTAATAAAATAATTATAAACGTTTTCTAAATATTTATGGATAAACATTGACCACACTGGAAAGTCAGAAATAACTATTCTTCCATCACTTCATTACTAAATAATAAATCAAACTTACCCAGTAAATTCAATTACATATCTATTAAAAACTACAAATGAAGAATAGTAGGAAGCATTCAGAAGGTTCAGCAAAATAAAGCAAAACATTAAGTTGCAGGTTCACTAGGACACAAATGAAGAAACATTTAAAACTGAACAATGTACTGCCATGTCAACAGCGTGTTTTTTTTTTTTTTTGGTAGGACTTCTATGAGTAGTGGTCTTTTGACTTAGTAAGTTTTAGGTGTTTTTTACAATGTAAAGTACTATTTTTAAATCTGAAAAATAATTTTAGTTATTCTTAAAGATAGAATTTTTCTAACGAAAAAAATTAAATTAGAATGGTATTAAGATTCCATTGAAGTTGCATTAAAATTTTGTGCTCTATCATGTTTCAATTTTCCAAATTGATGTAACAGAGAAATTCTGAGAGACTCTATGTGGCAGGCCCTTGGACAAAAAGCCCAGACAATACAGGCAATCTTTCACCAAGGAACTCATGTAGATGACTCTCAAACCAATGAGCAAATATTCAAATAACAGAAAGTCCATAAATTAGGCAGTAAGACAGTAATTTAAACTTGTACAGAAGTATGTTTTTAAAAATCAATACTAAACCTTTCTGAGTTCCATTTCTGTTAACACTTTAAGATATTCCTGAAAACATTTTCTGAATTTCAGACATAAACGAAAAATTTTGCTTAGATGATTTTTCTTTCCTAGCAGAAGTAAGTGCAATACATTAAGGTACCAATTTGCTTTATTAAACATAAAATATGCCTGGAAGAGTGAAAGTGAAGAAAGCAAAGTAGGCATCTGCTTGTCCTGTGGGAAACCTGAGGTGCATTGGCTGTACTGAATTGTAAGCTATGGCAATTTAGCAATGAGGCTGATGGATTTTAATTAAAATGTTCTGCAACCCTTAGTGACTTGGAATAGAAGAACTGGAAGCTTTAGGAGTTGAAAGTATATACTCAATTCTTTGCTTCTATGTTAGTGGTATCTTTTAGCTTTGGAAAATAATAGATGTTTCTGTACAATAGTAATTAAAATGTTTTAATTTTTCCCAAAAACATTTTACTGTAGAAAGTGAAAACATACAAAATTAGAGAAAATAGTACCCACTACCCGATTTTCGAAATTACTATTTATAGACAATCTTGTTTCATCTACAAGATTGCCTACTTCCCAGCCACTCTAGACTATTATAAATTAAATCTCAAATATCAAAATTGTCTGTGAAACTTCAGTATGAATCTATAAAGGATACTTTGAAACATATTGACAACAATACTGTCATGTCTACAAGAAAAAAAAGTATTCAAAGCTTTTTTTAGGGAGAGGGGTAGACATAAGTTTCATATAAATTGGTTGATATGTTTCTATCCTTCTCTCTCTCCCTTCCCTTCCCCTTTTGTCTTTTCTTCTCCATTGCTGGGGATGGAACCCAGGCCCTTGAAGGTGCTAGGTAAAAGCTCTACCACTGAACTATCCCCCTCTCTACTCTTAAAGTTATTTTAATCAATGCTTCCCCTCCATCAATTTTTTTTCCCTTCTAAGGAGTATTTTATTGAAGAAACTAGGTTATGTGTCCTATAGAATGTTCCTAAGTCAATTTTCTGGGGTTGTATATTGATTAACTGACATATGTTTTTACAGTTTGGTAATCCAAGGAGTAGTGAAAAAAATGAGAATATACTGGAAACAAAAGAGTATACCAGAAGACCAAATTATGAATGATCAACATTAGAATGACGTCAGCACCAGCACTTGGTACCATACTAAAGGAGAATAAGAAAAGACTTGCTCTGTGGTTTAATTACAGAAACAAGTCATTATCCTTCAACAAGTACATTAAAATGCTAATAAAGTAAAGCCAAATAAATTTTAAGTATATATAGCATGAATAACAAATTTGAACGTACTTACCGGTTTTCATTTCTAGTAAGCGCTTTTTCTTTTGCTGGCGTTCAAATCTTTCTTTCTCTGCTAATTCTTTAGCTATTCTGGCACGTTTTTCTTTTTCCTCAGCTTCTCTTTTTTTGATGTTTTCCTTTATTGCTTGCTATTCGAAATAAATTTTGAAAAATGATGAATTTTAACCAGTGATTCCACAAGAAAATGATAAAATATCAATCTGAAATTATACTCAAGCTACAACCACCAATAAGACTCTGTAAGATGATGGCTAGTCTTTATATTAGTAACAGTCTTTTAAAAGTTATGCAAATAGACCCTTGTTAAAATTATGTATCTGTAAGTAGAATTAAATTTAAAACACCTGCATCTAAGTGGAATTAACTTACTAAAAGGGAGACAGAAACTAAAAGTAAAAAGGCATTTAATTCACAAATCAAATCTGCTTTCCAACATGTATTTTTAAAAAGCCTATAACTGGGTAAGTCTTCCATACTTCCTCTGTTAAATGTTATCGAATATAGGAAAATAGTTGAAGAAATAATAGAAAATGCCTAAAACCTTCTTATGGCTTCTTTATATTATGAGCAATAATTTCTGGATTTTTCTCATTTAGAGAGAAGAGTTGAAAAAAGACAACTATATAAATATTTAGCATCTCAAAACCTGGTCCTCTGTTGATCAGAACCAATAATAACATGCTAATCAAAAGATTTCGACAGATATGTGATTAGTTAATTCCTTATTTCTGAGTTTTATACCAATCAAGAAATACCTCTCATGTGGCATTCGTTAGAATTAGCAGGTAAATATGGAGCTTTGTAAGTGCCAACAAACAGCATGGGCGTCACGTTACAATATCCTACCCGAGATTTATTGAAGTGCCAATAAAACCAAACAGGCTATCACATTAGTTTTTCACCAATAGTATTTTAAAAGTGTATAATTTAAGACTATACTGAAGTAGATGATCTGTATGTGTTATTTCTTGGGGAAGAACTTTTATTATTTTTTTAATGATATGGACGGGCGCGAGAGTGAGGGGGCGACCCACACCTAAACACACGTCCACACACAGCAGCACAGCACACAGCTTAACGAGCACACACCTAAACCGACGCCGACACAGCGAGCTAAACACGACAGATAGCGCGCGCGACACGGCGTGCTGGGGAATGTAGCCTTAGTCCTGATTGAAGTGCCTTGCAAACCGACTCTACCATCCCGTTGGACATCATGAGATCCCCCTTGTGGTAAAATCCAGAAGTTGAATGGCAAGTTTATAAAAACATGAAGTAATATAGTTGTACTATTATGTGGTACAAAGCCCAGATGAAAAGTACAAGGAAGAAAAAAAAATAAAGCAATTATGAACCTCAGTCAAGCATCCATTTCAGTACATTACATGATTAAAAAGACTGAAAGGTAATGGTATGCTAAAGAAGGGTGGGCGGGTTAGGATGCTGCATTCTGCAATACCTTCTCAGGCTATGGTGGAAGTAGGGTAAAGGGCAGTGAGGGCCGGCGGAGAGGTTGGTCAACAACGCAAGAAAATGTGAGGTACTATGTTTAAAAAAAGGGATGTCTGCGAAGAATGCCTGAGGGGTTGTAGGCGTGGTCGGACGAGGGTGTCATTGGTTTGATAAGGTCGAGCTGCACTGTGTGTGGGAGTTCAAGGGGTGAAAGTGTGAAAATGCGTAATGTGTGGCTGCCCTCAAGTTGGTGGACGATTAAGATCAGGCAGGACACGGGAAGCAGGTGGAGTGTGGGGGGAACTGTGAGCGACTGGATAAAAGCTTGTAGCAGCAGCAACGGGGAGAAGGTGAGGATAGGTAAGAGCAGCGTAGAAAGAGGTGGAGCTGAGCGGAGTGGTGGTGGGTTTGCCGCTCAATGCAGTAGAGAGTCTAGAAGGCAGGAGTGAGCGGGTGGTGAGGAGAGAGCGAGACGTGGAGCGAAGGGTAGGAGGAAGGGGAGGCGAGGAGGAGGCGTAGAGAGAGAGTGAGAGGTCCGAAAGGAAGGGAGGAGGTAAGCGGCGTGGAGAGAGGATAAGCGAGAGCACGGCGGAGGATAGGGAGAGGGTGTGAGAGGTGTGTAGAGGGGGTAGAGGGGGTGCGCGTGTAGTAGCTATTCTTTAGACTCTCAAACACAGCAAGAAACTTGTGGGTCCTTCCCTATGTATTCGCTTGTTACTGCTCTTTCAAACAAAATTAGAAATAAGGACAAAATAGTTTCTGCTGGGTATTGAGGGGGTGGGGGGAAAGGGAGGGGGTGAGGGCAGGGGAAGAAATGACCCAAGCCTTGTATGCACATATGAATAATAAAACAATAAAAAGCCATTGAGTTAGCTAGGTGATGGTCTGGGGAAAGAATACAGCAAGTAGAAAAAAGTGCTAATGTGAAGGCTGTTGATGGGTTTGAGAAACAGAAAGAAGGATGTATAGTGAAAATGAGATCAAGGAGGTAAGATGATGATTGAGGGTCTTCTGGGCAAGACAGGGAGGTTAGATTTTCTTTTAAGAGTACTAGAAAACTATTGGAGATTTTTAAGCATCAAAATGTGAGAGAAAGCACTCTTGAGATAAAAGCACTAATCAAGCACCTTCATTACAAACTATCTTTTTACAGGTATTTATATTATTATAAGCATATAATAGTTGACAGGAGAATATATTGTGATATTTACATGTGTGCTTATAATACATCTTAGATTTCCCCTCCATGATTCTCCTTCCCCACTCCTTCTTAGAACAATTTCAATAGGTTTCATTTTTCTATTTTCATATATGAACACAAAATATACCTACCATATGAGATAATGAATGTTCTTAGAAGACCGAGGTAGTAAAGTCTCTTTAAGCAAATCAATTTATCATCCAGAATGATGAAAAGGGGCAAAAGTCCAGTTTTACTACCTATTATACAAGATTGGGTTTCCTAAGTTCAAGTTTCCTATCACAGAAACCACTATGCACATAGGTGTTATCTAGGCCTCTTCACATTGCCCTGTTGGAATATGGGCTCAGAAACCTACAAAGCTGTATACTGAGGCTACTGCTATTGCTGTGAATAATAAATTATTCTTTGTCTCTGACCCTAGAGGCTGGTGTCTTCTGCCAATATCCATGACATTGTGGCAAGTTAACTTGTTAACCTGCTAATTGGCAAATTCTTCACAGTTCCTGATAGATATTAACCCACTGAGAATCAGTTGCAAAACTAGATGCTTTAATATGCAGTTGCTTCATAACTGGGTTCTGCATTGCTCATTCTGTGCCAGAATGTAAGCTGTGCCAGAATGTAAGCTGTGCCAGAAGTTAAGTATTTATTCACTGTGACAAAAGTAGTTAGAGGAAGTGAGTGGCAATATTTAAAAGTTAGATAGTCAGGGTTTCCCACTATGTTGCTTTATACTACGTCCATATATATTAACAGCCAATTCTGAGACATCTGTAAAAATCAACATAAGCTAAGAAAGTAGGAGAAGACATCCTAGAAGCAGAAAATTAACATAGGTTCAAAGACAAATGTGTATGAGTGTGTATGGGTGTACCCATGTATGTATGTATGAGGAGAAGGGTCAGGAAGAACAGATTATGAAGGAGGGAAAAGATTTTTAAATATTCAAGAATAAACATTTTATTTCTTGAAGGAAATGAATAAAAAGAATTTGCAGTAGGATAAATAATATATCACATAACTCACTTATGAATCTTATTAACATAAAAAATTCTGATGTAAATTTTCCACTTTCATGACTGGGTTCACTTCAGTCTGACCATTTAATAGACGATCCTTTTAATATTACTGACACACCCTTTTGGAATTTCACTCGGTAATAGAAAGTCAAATTTGCTCTCCTGCATCTATAAAAATAATGTTTATGTTTAGAAATAAGGTCTGAAGTACTTTTTAAAGCAATTTTGTTTTAGGGAAAATGCACTATTGATTTTCATTTTAAAATCTTCCTCATTTAAAACTTACTCTGATATTATAACAGTTGGAAGAAGAATTTTGGCTGGAATGCAATATATAGCATAGAGATAAGGCATTAGTCTGCAACTATCATCCCAGATCAAACAGTGATTTGGCATTTTCTTTTATGCCAAATATTAAGTAAAAGTAGCTAAAACAGCAAAGTTGTTTCTTAGTTATTTCAATCCTAAATTCATAGCCAGAGAGTAATTTAAGGGTGAGGCATACATAGTAACAGTTGGCTATAAGACACTGATTAAAAAAGATCTTATTCTTAATTGGTAAACAACCATACTATTACTGACTAGATCCAACTACATATTGCAAGTGGACATTCTCTGAGCATCCTTTCCAAGATACAGCCCAGTGCATACACTTCTTTAAATGATCTACTGACTTGCCAGTCCACATCAATGACCACAGAGGGATTCAAAACATTAGCCATATTTTGTTCATTTAAAAGACAATCAATAACCTGAGTTCCTACAGCTCAAATGCTTTTTATGGAACAGCAGGTTGTAAAATAGCTACATAATGCATAAGCATATTAACATATGCACAGCAAAATATATATGATAACAAATACATGTGTATATTCTGGAAGAACTAATTGACCTCATAACTATTTCCTTCTATAATTTATGTTTTTAACAGAATTGATATAATAACAAGAACTTTACAACAACTAGTTTAAATATTTATTATAGCATTACATAACATATTCCCTTTTCAGTGAAATCAAAATGACCCAAAGCCAGTAAATTTAAATGAATGTGCATAGATGTCTGTAAAATTTAGAAATGTCTGGCAGAAAGTAATACTTTTTAAGTTGTAGTTATTATCATAAACATTATCTTTGAATTTCATGAAAATTTCATCATCCTTTATGTCAACTTCTGTAACTTGCTGTTTGTACTCAGTATTTGTTTCTAAGATTGACCCACATTTCTATGTGTAAATTATACTTCTCTAAAAATCATGATTTCTAGCATTTTGTAGAATACAGAAAATGTAATTTTTATACATGCTGATGGTGTATTTCTGATACTTTCCCTGTAGTATCAATTTTCTTTTATATGCTTCATAGAAAGCAGAACCACAAGAAAAGTTTAATTCCTTCCTTTTCAACCTTCATTTCCTATCTTACTGTACTGGTTAGGAGTTACAGACCCATTA